ACCCACCTTCACGGTGAATTGCTCAACAGTGATATGCAAGATATCGTCTTGGGCGCGATGACAAATACATCATAGATGGTCAAAGCACAGTGAGCTCAGAGACGTAGAGGAATCGGTGATTTGCGGGCAAGACCTGCTTGCGCCTCCAATTGCGATATGTTAGACGACGGTCTCAATGGACGAAGGATACTGGATAACTTGACTGACCTCCAGCTGCTCTGACATTCAAGGCGTATGGGCTTTGCACGTAGTGCTCGGGCTTGGATAGAAAAACACAGGCTTAGGAATGAAATCATCAAGCTTCTGTCTAACAGGGAAAAGCAAACAATCCTGATAGCATGCAGCTCCGTGTATGTCCGAGTGGTTCCCGCTCGCCCGTACATGTCCAAAAGCTCAGCAACCCGGAGAGGAAGAGGAATCAAGATGACTCTATCAGACGTAGTTCTTGGGTTATGGGTCCTCTCAATCGTTTGGCCATCCGCGGTCTTGTCCATCGATTCGAAGCTGACATGGCTATTGTTAGTTGATTTGGCTAGGAAAAACGGGATTTTTGCCTCACCTTCTCCATGCAAGCAGTCTCGACTAACAACCTCGCCAGTACGAAAATATGGCTCTAGCTAGACAAAGCATTGGCTGCGTTGGCTTCTCCCGGTTTCTTAGGGGTTTTAGGCTCAAAAGACGCTAGACGCCATCCAAGAACAACGATGGCCACCCACTGGACGCCGGGGATCCAAGCCGCAAGTAGGCTATCCCATGTAGGTGTTCAAATGCCGAGAGACAGACACTGCTATGCGCTCTGTGGGGTCTTGCATCAGGTAAGCATACCAACGCGTGATCTGATGAACCAAATCGACTAGAACGTCGAGGGAGAGACTCATCGATGCCACCGTTAGTCATGAGGAAGAAACAGAGCATGCGATGGTGTTGGTGCAGGAGAGGTTGAGCAGACAAGACAGTTGATCGCTTCGAATTCGAGTGTGGGAATATGAGGGAGCCTCCTGTTGTGAGACCCGAGTCAGCAAGTGTTGATCCAGTTGGACGAGGTGTTGTGCTTTACGTTGTTCATGGAGACTTCCCCGAGTGTATGGTTGAGACAGATGATCAATTAGGATCGTCATCATACCAGCTTACCAACTAGTTCACTGCCAATTCTGTTCTGCAATGCAGTCACCAATATGCCATGTTGTATCCAGGCTCGTCGCACTCTCCGGCTGTCGCTTCGAGAAGTTGCGCTGGATGAACTGACAAGTTCACAACACGGCAAAGGCGCATGAGAACCCACCCATGACAAGAAATTGTACAGTCGTAAAGGGAGACCGCTTCCCATAGGCGGCGAGAGGCTGAGGCACTCAAGTCGTGTGAAAAGGCGGTGAGAAGGGGGAAGACGCGATGGCGCGTCGGCTCCTTGGTCTTATCTGAGTCGGCGGGAATAGGTAACTCGCCACGAGACCTTGCGCGGTTGGCGATGGGCTGCTCCTGCAACGGCATGAAGATGTCAGTAGTGTTTGTGTCTGGGGCACAGACTTGGCACAAATCATCGCACCCGGCGCATCAAGAGCCGCGATATCCACTCACCTTACCATAGAGAACAAGGTTCTCGAGCTTATGCGTCCTGTTGTTGGCCCGCGCCTTTGATTTGCAGTATTTCACATAGGACATGCTGCATGGTTTGATGTGGCAGGGCCAGAAATGGTGTAAGCCATGACCTTGCCTGGAGCACTGACGGCGCCGCTGGGTCGGACTCACATTAGGGCGCTGTCAACGGTCTCCTGTCCATCATTAGCTTGTCGATCGGCGAGACATGTAGAACTCACATGTTCTGAAAGAAGACACGGAAAAGGGCTCCGTGGCTTTGCGCGTGCATTGGATGGAATGCAAGGATCCGGTTATTTCGCATCGTCTTTGAAGTCAGTCCAGTCTCGGAAAGGGTCGCTCTGAGATCTACATACCTGGATAGAAATCCCCTTTTTGCATCGATATATTCAGGAGCGGGACAGTGGTCCGCTGCTACGATGGACAGATATTCGCATACTTTGACCAGCTAACCCAAATCTGCTTCTTTGATCGGCTGGTATAGGTGGCATAGTGGATCTGGTGGGAATCACTTTCTCACAAGCCCTTTCTAGCTTGTCGGCCCACGACGTATCCATAGGTGTCAGTATGGTGGAAATTCCAGTAGGGTTGAAGGGAAGAACTTATCAGGTGCCTCAAACCGAGGGCCTGCTCGACTTTGCGCAGCAAGTGGCAGTGTTGTAGAACAAATTGCTGGGGGAGAGGGCGAATTTATAGGTTTCTCGGCTCCCGTCGCGTACGTGCTCTATTATAGAGCAAACATTCAAGGACACGACGCTATCCTAAGTGAGGTCTGTTGCAATTCTTGCCTTCGTTCTACCGCAACTATTCGCAGCGAAATTTTTGGTGTCATGTTAGATGCCCACCGAGAAAAAAATGCTAGGGTCATGTTGAGAATGAGTCAAAGTGAGTCGGTTAAGAAACGTTGGCTCACTGTTGAATCTACGGTCCTAATACTGAGGCAATCATTCTCGTCTAAATAACATGGAAATTTTCTGGCCTCGCTCGAGTGTTGATTGTCTGCGCTGTGTGGTTCTGTCCCTCTAGGCTGCGGAAAGCGTCAGGCTGCGGTCGCGCGGGCACGGGTACTCAACTCGTCGACCCGTTGAAGCTTGGCCATCCTTGTTGACGGGAGTCAACTTTTGAACCTGTGATCATGGTTGAGATAGATATCCTTTTTTCGATTTTCTTTTTCTGTCCTCTAGATTTTACTCTATTTACGTTTGGGGTTTCTGAGCTCTCAAACGATTGTGGAAAATGCGTTGTGATTGAGTATATATCTTTTGGACCGTTCACCACCGGACGCCACTAATATGAGGCACATTCACCAACCATCAACACCACGAGTCTGATTACCAGCTCCATCATTAAACGGACTGCTAACAGAGTGCTGAGATTGAAAAGCTGACTACGCTGATTAACTTTCATGGTGAAATGAGACTGAGTACCTAGCCACCGATGTCTTCTAGTCTATAAAAACCTCCAAGAACTAGTGGACATACTATTGCCCAGATACTCGACTTTCCCCTGCGATCAAGATGGATGCCCCTAACAGCACGCCAGACCAGGAAAAAGAAGGTGAACAACAGCCCAGTGCATTGCCAATCGTTTGTGGAAAAGACAATTCGCAGGAAACTTCCGATGATGTCCCTCCACTGGTAAGTAAAGCGGCTCAGCTTCCAATGCTCTTGCTGACTGCCGCAGCTCTCTCCCTCGCAACAGGAAGCAGAAACAAGACATATCTTGGCGACCGAGCCCTTTCAACCTATTTTGAATGTGCTAGCAGACCTCGAACGCGACGATCCCAAGTTTGCCTTTCCAGCAGGTCGAATTGTCGGACTCTATCGACGCCTATGGGAGTCGTGCGTGTCCAAACACATCGATGGTCAGAACCTAGAGAAGAGCAATCAGATCTTGAAGGAGGCTAGCAGACACCTGACTAAAGAGAGGGACGGACTTCAGCTTCGCCACGACAAGCAGCTGTCTCGGCTGCGCTTCTTTGAGCAGGCACTGGAATCATCTCGGGGTCGATTGATTAGGATCCTCGATGACTGGGATCACCCTTGCAGACTCAATCTACCAGGGTTTTTGGACAACGCAAGAGAAGAGTGAAGCATTGCATGTTTATATCTGTCCTATGTCTTACTTTAAAAACTTGGAGATTCCGGAGTCGAGGACGCAGGAAGAATTGGAGGGATAGAATATTCATTCTGGGGTCTTCAAACGAATGTCAGCGGCTACTAAGCAGCGAGTATTGGATGACATTCACTCAGTTCTGTATTCTGAGTTGCCTGTCTCTAGAGTTCAAGACCTGTGGACACTCGCAACATGCCGATGAATCCCCGCAGCATGGCCTCATATTGATCTCAGTGACATTCGTGGAGCTTGGAATGGCCTGAAGAAGATCGCTGCAATGGTATTTCTGTTGTAGGATTCAAATGAGAGGTATGACTGGACATGCTGGGTTTGCAAAATCCCTGCTACAGTAGAGCTGAGGCCCCTTTGATTCGTCCATGGGATTGAGGGTTTTGACTCGAGAAACCTGGGAGCTTCCCACTTCGCTGGACAATTTGCAAAGGATCAGCATTTGATTCGTACAAGAACAGAAGGCTCATCGTACGCTGTTGGCTCTGACCAGCCAGAAGGTCAAGATTGGGGCCTTTTAGAGGCAGTTCAGTGAGGTTGACTGATGGCTGGGGGTATATCTGAGATATGAAAAATTGCGTGCTAGGCACAGATAGAGAGCCAGCTTCCTCTTGGATGGTCCAGTAACAGTAAGGATGGAAAGGTGTAGGCACGGTAGAGGTTGATTGGGGAACGTCAGCGTCCATGTTTAAGCGAGAGGTCAGCGAGAGAGAACTGCGGGATGGTGGCCCGCTTTTAATACGAGTGAGGGAGCAGCTACAGGGTGAGAATTAACTAGCCTTGAACTAAGCAATGGCTGCATGGGTTGAGATAGGATTGCTGGTGCCTTTGACGCACAGGCGGCGCTCCCGCAACGATTGCCACAAAAGCAGTCATTATTTGAAGGGGCTGCCCTTCTTTGGCTTGCTCTGCTCCACTTTCCAGGCCAGTAAGTACTTTCCTCCATGGTGTGGATCAAGGGTTGGTTTATTATGATGGAATCTTTTTATTGAAACGCTGTAACAAAGGATTCGACAAGTACAAGTACAGCCAAGCGTCTTGCTACTGATTGGCACAGCCAACGAGGAAATGTCCAAGACGATAATTGACAACCTTATACAGAATAGGAGAGGAAATATAAGTATAAATATAAAATTGAATTGGTCGTACGCATGATACTCATGCTATGGTATACACATCCCAAGGTCTAATGATACAGAAAATGGTTAGAGACAATAAGGAAACCAAGAGGAAGGAAAATGGTGGTGGTGAGGCATGAAAACGCGCCATAATAAGAATCAAAATTAAGCGGAACCCTCCAAGCCAAGCGCCGCGCCCGTAATGCCATTATTGTACCGTAAATTGTAAGCGTCCGAATCTGAATCTGTCATGTAGATCTCAGGGACCATCAGGGCAGATTTCTCCCCGCAAGTCCCATCTTCCAGGTGGATATCGCTGGACCGTCGATGTTGCTTGTTTTTGTGGAGACCCAGGCACACTGAGAGTAACATGCAGGCATAGCCGATGATGAAGCCCACTAGGCAAACTACCAGACCTGCGGCGGCGCCCAGGACGGCGGGGAGAATGACTGGGCGCGCCAGGCGCATAAAGGTCCGGTCACGGTCGTGGCGATGGGGGTGGCCGTGGCTATGGCTACGGTGTGAGTAGACTGATGGGGACCAGTAGGGAGAGAAGATGAATCCGTCCTGGGTGGCTTCCTCGATGTCGTCGATCTGGGCGGTATTGCTGGGACGTGCTTGCGTGGATTGCTCGGCCGTGGCGCGAGAAGGCTGAACGGGAGACGAGACCTCCTTGTTCTCCTTCAGTTTGTCGGTGTGGTTGATAATCCCCGCCATCTGTGTTTGCCAGAACTTCATGTGCCAAGGTCGATCGTGGCCCTCGCGATGGCCTTTCCCGGGTTCCATTTGGATCCGCGTAATCTGCTGACTGCCATCGGGATGGGCGAGCAAATCCAGTACGACAGCGTTGGGAGTGACGGGTTCTCCCTGGAAATCCATTAAATCGACGCGCATGCGCACAATCTTGGAGGTCGCGCCAGCTTCTTTGGAAGAAAGTGGCCGGGCATGCAGAGAGTAAGAGAGTTCTAGATCGTTCTCGCCCACACGAGCGTTTGCCTGACCTTTAAATTGAGGCGCATGTAGTTGCATGGAGATTGTCGGCGGGAAGATTTGATCGTTGTTGGCATAGAGGGACCCATTCGTCACGGTCCATTTGAGAAACTTGAATGTATATTAGTTTTCGAGATTGCCATTAACGGGAAATTGCGGAGATGGCTTACCAGATAGGCATCCGAATCATGTTCCGGGCTGAGTGACGGGAGATAGGGCAGATGCAGTTCGTGAGCGGTTGAGAGGGGGATCGACGATGCGATCGCACCGACCACGGAGAGGATCGACCACGGGTGCAACCGCATGATGGTCGAGTGATATCGATAAACCCGGCGACTAGGCAGTGGAGAATGGAGATGAGGTGAAAGGTAGGATGATCCCAAATGAGATCGAGATGTGACGGACGAAGTTGCGACCAAAGAATGAAGTCGTGGTTATGGTTTTAGGATGGTCGATGAATAAGTCCCGAGGGGGAGAAGTAGGGGGAAAATGGAGAGAGTAGCAGATCCCGTCGAGGGAGGGGAAGGATGGAGTAAGAATAAGAGGGAAAAATAAGCGCGGACCCAAAGAAATAAGGTAAATTCGAAAATGGGAAAAATGACAGAATTATAAAGTAAGAATAATGAAAGAGGAGTCAGAGAGTTTGGCCCTACAGGGCGGACTAATGTAGGTGCCTGCCACCCAAACTTTGGTGTCGAAAGGCTCAAGCCGTATCGCTGAGGGGTCAGATCATCAAATGGTCATGATTAATCTAAAAAGTAAAGTTCTCCCACGTCTAAAGTTTAACTGCGACGCAAGCTCGAAAATTCCGGCGAAACAGGCGGGACTCGCGGCAGATCTCATCTGTCTCTGCCAGGAGTATTACCACTTGAGCCATGTGTTCCGGACGGGCAAAATTGAGTCAATAATTGATTTCATCTGCAGAACAATTAGACTCTTCTCGATCGGAGGAGATTGAAAGTGATACAGTACTTTGAAAAAGTCGTGCCGACAATTGAACTTTTTCATCTCATCATTGTTTTCCCCTTTTTGATTCTGTTGCTCTGATTGGCATCCAGTGTATTTCCATAGCTATACAGGCCATCCCTGTTACAACCTCATAGTTAGTTATCGCTTCAGCCCGGCTTACAGAGTACAATTTCATGGTAACGAAATCCACGACGGAACGGATAACACGGCCGAACAGATAACCGGCCGCCTACAAAATTCACTAATTTTTCCGGATCCTCGCTACGCTAACTCCTAATATACCTGTTACTTGGACCTGCACTCTGAAACTTTCGGTAGGCCAAACTGCCGCCTTCCTATCGCTATCACCCCTCTTAATAAACTTCGACGGCGGCCTAATAGAGTAGCGTTTACTGTAAAGTTGCGCTTAAGATAAACTAATTCCCGAGGCCGTCGGACCTCTGATTGGCGAGATATTGAGGAAATCTTTTTGCCAAGAAAGAGTTGTTCCAACCTTGGGCCTCCTCATTTGGAGAGATTTTTGCCCTCTAAAATCTGGCTTCTCATAAAACTCTAACTTACAACTTTAACTAGGCTTACTGACGTCAGTTAGTCGATCCTTTGTAATATTACAGAGCGAAACTTTGACACGCAGCTCCATTCGGCAGTGCCAATGCGTGAACTTTGATGTTGTTTCTAAAACACGTTGACTTAGCCAAGTTGTAGATATCACGTTGCAATGTCCTGGAAATGGCTCGCAATGATTTCGAGAAGGTGGAATGGTGTACCGTTTCTACCCCATCCGGAAAGACCCTATGAACTGCTTAGACTCACATACACACTTCTGGATTGTCAACACTTAAACGGCATATTGAACGTGGCCACCAAAGCATACAGCTCTCGCTTTCTCCCTAGACCTGGACGCACCACTCGCAATAAAGATGCTCACTACAAACCAAACACAGTATGCATTCGGACTCAGATCCATTACTGTCTTCCGGTCTCGTCGATGGATCTGGTTCCGCTGGTTAGGATATCTAACCTGTCTGGTCACCGTCCTGCGGGTCTACTCATATTTCGCACAACACCCAGAAACGAATCTGATTCGAGCTGCTTATAATTTCTTTCATCGACCAGGGATTCTTCTACCCGGTCAGTATCAGGAAAATGCTGTGTTTATGCCTGCAACTTATGACGGGAAATATGAGGACCCTGATTTGGATGAGATGGGGCTGGTCCATGACCGGAGGTTTGAGATCCAATTATCTTGGAAGTTAATTGATATGATGCTAATCTATGATATTACCATCCTCAGAGACAAGCAGTTCTACCTCGGTGGTACCCTGACCCTGACCAGTATCAAATCCGTCAACACCTCTCACCCAGTCCCATTCATCTACGACCCATACCCAGCATACAACAGTCAAAAATGGAAGAAGCAATACCATGGCAGGTTCCAGCCGTGCATAGGTCCTAGAGGCCATTTCCTCGACCGCAAACGACCAGAAGATATGGTCCAAGTCTACAAAGGCCGACAAACCGGATTCCCCGAACCACGATTTGGATCGCATGGGGCAATGGGCTTGGACGGCGACGTGTGTACAGATCGCTACTCCCGCTTTGGAGCATATGGTTTCGACGAAGATGGCGAGGACAAAATACCTGGTTTCTCACGGCCACCTGCGGTACCGTGGAGCAAGGTTGATTGGTACGAGTTGCAATCTCTCTGCCTGGAACGAAATTCTGGCAGGTATAAGTCAAGCGGTGTGGTGAATGTTTCGGTGCGGAGTCCACTTTCTTTTGATCTTCCTAATTCCCCTCATAAGACTTCGGAGTCGCCTCCTGTTACGGCTTCGAATGTGAAGCGGTTTCATCCTCGTACTGCGCTATTGATTAGGGCTTGGAATGGGTTGACTTGGAAGCCGCATCATCGTGAATATCTCCGTGCTTTAATTATGGAGCTCTCCTTGCATTCTGGTGGGGAGTATCAGGTCTTTCTTTTGATTCATGTTAAGGATGATGAGATGCCGATTTTCTCGGATACTAAGACGATCAATCGGCTTAAGAGTTCTATTCCGGAGGAATTTCGGAATATGGCACTTTTCTTTAACAACAAACTTTTGGAGGCTTGGTATCCAAAAATTGAAGAACATAGGTGAGAAATACATTGAGTGTGGAAATTTTGGTTCTCTTGTTGACACGATATACAGTCCCGTGCTTCAGCACCACCAACCACTGCAGATCTTCGCCCAGTTATATCCCAACTTCGACTACTACTGGCAACTTGAACTGGACGGTCGACACACGGGACATATCTACCACTTCCTCGAGCAATCGGTCTCATTTGCAAGAGACCAACCACGAAAATACCTTTGGGAACGAAACGCCTACTTCTACACCCCTGGGGCACACGGCAACTGGAGCGAATTCACCGCGATGGTCGACAAAAGCCTGGAAGACCGATCAAACAGAACAATCTGGGGCCCAATTTCCGGCACAGGAATCAGACCCCTAGGCCCGGACCCCCCAGTCCCCTACCCCGACGAGGACAACTACACCTGGGGCGTCGGTGAAGAAGCAGACTTCATAACTTTCCTACCCATCTTCAACCCAAAAGATACAGCATGGAAATTTCCCAACAAAATCTGGAACTTCAAGTACGGCGACGAGACCCCACGCCGTGCGGCAGTTATTACAATGGGTCGGTACTCCAAACGTCTTCTAGATTTGATCCATTACGCACAAGCGACGAAGGGACTCGGTCTTGCTTCTGAAATGACGGGTGCGTCGTGGTCGCTGTTCCATGGCCTAAAGGCTGTGTATGTTCCGCATCCTATCTATGCCGATGGCCAGTGGACGCCGCAGGAACTGGCGCGCATTTATAACCCCGGCACGCCGGATAATATCAATGGAGGTCCGGATAGTATTTGGAATTTTGATCATTTGTTCGACCATATTACTTCTCGGCTTTCGTACATGCTTACTACGCATAGTGCGGAGGATTTGTACAGGCGCTGGTTAGGGTTTAGGACTGCGGAGCATGAGGGTGGGAAGACGGTAAGTCGTTTCCTCGAGTGCTTCTCTTCTTTTGGATATATGTCATGCTAATGTGTGTTTTGATGCAGTCGTTTGAGGATCGGTTCGGGAGACATTGTTTCCCGTCAATGTTTCTCCATACAATCAAGAATACTGCTCATGGGATGGGACCAGACAGGGCTGTTCCGTGATCTATTCAGAGTTGGTGAGCCTCGTTGCATATTGATTTTCTATTGCTTCTGGTGATATGGAGGTTTGAAGGCAAGCTCGGGACATATTGATACTTTAATTTTTAGCCAAGAGGAGGTGATTGCAATGTAAGAAGGTTGATATTGACTGTAATACCACCACCTCGACATAAGCAGGACCCCGAAAAATGGACCTGGTTAATCTGCTCAGGCTGTCCGTGAATTAAACAGTAATAAAGGGGATTAATCAAACCTTGACATGAATCTGGAAGTCATTTCAATCAAGTTGCCTCTTGGGAACGGTGGTGTTATCAAGGTCAACCGAAGTCCCTGTGGCCGACCTGCTCGCCTCCATACGAGCAAGTCAGAGGTGGTTTGGTGCGACCCCAGCCCCTCGGTACCAGATGGCTGTGCCAAATTGCCCCCTGCGGGGTTCCAAGGCCATCGTTTGGGAGAACGATGGTCGAGGGATGGGCTAAGTAGTGAAAGATTTACCCCGGAGTGACCCAAATTTAGGCATCTTCCATAATTATTTCAAGTAGATTTTTTACTTCTTCTTTCCACACAACTTGACTTCACTGCCTATTGCTCGTTCCTGGTTAACTTCGATCCTCGTCTTGGTGTGTTCAGTGTAACAGCCTCGGGTCCACCAGTGGGACTTTATACTGCGCATTGACCTTACCCGTCTCCCCGTCTCCCGCCCGGCCCTGCCCATCAGCCTCAATCCGGGATCCTTTCTGGAAGTCCTTCTTGAGCATGGTGCACATCCAGATGCCATAGGATCCAACTACGAGGCACCAGCACCACTGATGCGTGCATCTTCGGGGCCGGACTTACCGATATAGAAATTCAGACTCTTGTTAACGTGGCATTAAAAGTTTTGGATTTAACACCCTGGGTGAATTCATGCAATGCTAGTAATAACCATTGATAGACTGCCACACTGGCGCCATGCAAGGTAAATATGGTAAGCAAATAGGAAACCGGAAAAATGGTAAAAGACACGTGAGGCATGTTTAAGGAATACATCATTGGATAGAGAGCAAGGGCCCCGTCGCATAGGAATTGGAAGGATATGGGCTTGGCAGAGAGAATAGGGACAAGAATTCGGGACACCCAGCAAAGTGAGAAGA